ACCTGCACATGATGTAAAGAAAGTCAAGTCACAGTAGGCACTCTTTACCAGGGAAATAAGGCAGTATTTGAATCACAAGATATATTTTTTATCTGCTACCATGGATTCAATGATCTGTAGAGCTTTTTCACTCATTTGCTGTCAGGGTATGAACTGACAGCCTGTAAAGATAAAGATATTTATATTTTTGTATAGTTGTTTTCATAGATTTCTCAAAGGCTGAAGTTTTCAACCTAGAAGATGAGATTTGTATCGAGTATAGAAATGTTTCCTATCTAGTTTGTAAATAATCATGGTGCACTTGAGGGGTCTCTTGGAAACTCCTGGGGGCAAGAATCACTATTCTGAAAATGTATAGACTGGGATTTAGCTGCTGCATTTTGCCTTTCTTAAATGATTATATTTCGGAATGTAACCCCTGTTCTGTCTTCACTGACAGGATTTGCTTGTGTTGTAAAACACTAACACAAGAGCTTCCAGTGCCTGGGCTGTGCCTGGGTTATGCTGTTTTCTTCTATATCCCCTGCCTTCTTTATCCCAAGTCCCACTCAGCATTGTTCAGACCTAGGTTATGAGACCAACTTTGGAATGGATCTAGCCAGTGAATTATTACTTCCATATTGATTCCTTTTCTATTAACTCTGGTAATCAACAGATTGAAAAGGATGGGAAAATTTACTCTGCAAAGTGCCCTGGGGCAAATTCTTTGTTGGTTTTGTGCTGCTTGCCTTTCTAGACCTGCTTATCGGCCCTTAACCTTCACTCATTGCTGAAGAAGCTTGAAGTAGTTAAAAGAATGCTCCTCATTATTTCTTCTACTCTTTACCCAACAGATATCATCCAATGCCTTAGCCAAGGAGTCCAGCCCCTGTCTTCCTCCCTAAAAATTGTTCTTGGAGATGCCAGTTCTTTAACCTGAGTATAGCAGTTTCCCATTATTTCGTTGTCTCATCCCCACATTTCCTCCTGACTTCCCAAGGCTTTTGAGGTTCAGCCAAGGAGCAAGCAAGGGAGTGAGTAATCCTCAGGAAAAGAAGGACCATTTAAGCTTTTGAACACTTTCCCTTCCTTAGAAGAAAATAGGCAGATGGGCCAAGGTCAGTTCCTGATTAAAGGATATTTGGCTGTGCTTATATGAGGTGAAAAAGACAGAAATGAGGGATAATTCCCGGTGTTCAGAGAAGACTACAGATGTCATTACAATCCCCACAAGCGCCAAGACACAGTGTTCTTAAGACAGAGCTAATTTGAGGAGAGCTCAGTCTTCAGAACAAACCTGCAGTTTTGGCAGCAATCTGAAATCTCCAAAAATGCTTACCCTTTCACCTTACCCTAGGAAAAACTGATCTATGAAAATTACACGTGTGATTATGAAAGATGAAGTTGAGAGAGAAGAGTTGAGGAACCTGGAAGACAGTGAGCTCTCACCCTAACTCTTATAAGAAGCATGATCTCAGTAGACCAATAATTCGCCTTTTTATACAACTGTAAATAAATGGAATGTTTTTAAGAATATAATTATGTCAGATTTAGCATTTTCTTTTATATATTAAATATATATATATCTTTCCTTTTCTGCTTTTGAAAGTGACTATTTTTTTAGAAACAAGAATAGAAGTTGTTTGGCAATTAAAGGGCAGGATGTGTAAGCCTGAAATAAATTAGTTGTACTAATGAAAGCAGTACTTGGTGTTGGGAGGTTTGTGCCGAGTTGGAGTATATAATTCTTAATGCCCTGAGACCTATTTAAGAGCAGGTATCTTCAAAGTAGTTTTTTAATGGGAATTTCTTCCTGTTTGCAAAGTTTTTGACATGCCATTTGGGGGAGGTTTATTATTCTAATCCTTGTAGCATGTCATACATGGAGGCTTCAAAATTTTGTACAACCTGATGGCAAATATTTGTTTCAGAAGTCATTCTACAGTGAAGAAGACTAGCCTAATACTTTGTGCAAAGGCAGTTTGTTACCTTAGGAAATAACAGGACATAAAACAACAATCTAAGTAGCTAAGGACAGTAAGTATTCTTGAGGCAAGATACTATGACTACTTTGATAATTTACAAAATGTTTTATTAAAGGCATTCTTTAGAAGTTGAGCTACTCCTATTTAAGAGGTCTCTAACAGATCAAGTTCAGTAATACAAGCTTCATATAGATTACTTACTTTGTATAATTTTATAATAAATGCAGTTGCTTTTCCCAGAGTTATGGTTGAAATACCTGATGCTAGATCTTTCTGTAACTGGCTTGAAAATATTTTGAATATAGGACAAAGGCAGACAATCCATATGTTATTTTTGACAGTGTTTATTAGTATATATTTTTTCCTTAACTGAACTGATTGAGATATTTGAAATGGAATGGGGTGGGATGAATTGAGAGGTAAATGCACTTTGAAGACAGGTCTAGAAAATAATGATTACCCTTGTCCCTCACTCCCAGAATTAACAAATAACAAACAAACACAACAACTATACACCATGTAGGTAGCACATTTCAGGTACTTCTATGAAGAATGACTAATAAACCAAGAATCAATACTTTTCTTGCACAAAATGTTGATTTTGGAGAAAGTACTATGAGGAAATAAATTTTAAATGGGCATGAACGGCTGGTGCATGGAAAATTAAAGCGAAGTTAGACTTACTGTCAGTTGAACAACAACAGTTAAAATACATATTTGAAATAAAAGGAAATTATTTATATTTTTAAACCGGGACAACTGTAATATATTAAAAATGACTGAACTGTTCTACAAAGGCACATAAATATTAATAGTGATGGAGGTGAGTGTGGAGGGTGCTAAGGCTAAACCATTAAATTTTATCATTGTAAACTGCTGGTAGAAGAGATTTTTGTTGAATAGGAAAGCAGCATTGGAAGCATTGTCTTGAAATTTATCCCCTTTCCAACTGCAGTCTTTGGCCTCAGCTGTCTCACAGTGCCTTGCATGTAAAGGTGCTCAATAAATTTGAGTTGATTAGCAAATGTTTAGCTTGTTAAGTTTTCCAGAATCATTTAATTGCCCCTTACTTGCCTAGGGTGAATATACAGCTTGCATCTAAAGAGCATAATGCTAAACAAGACAACTATATAACATTTATTCCCAGACATCTAGAATTTTAGAATATGACAAACATGCATACAGATTTAGTACATATACACGGAGAATGAATAGTGAAATAGTGTACGGACAACGAAATACTTTTATATAAAGAGACAACTGCATTTTGGAGAGTTGGGATGACAAGTATTTAAGGGGAGAGATAAGGGAGTAACACTGATATTCATACTGGACCTGGGATTTTTTTTTTTATAGTGTAGATGGACAAAATGCCTTTATTTTATTTCTATATGGTGCTAAGGATGGAACCCAGTGCCTCACACATACTAGGCAAGCGCTCTGCCACTGAACTACAGCCCCTGCCCTGGGAGTGTTGTTTTCTAAGGATTTCATGAAGCATGTGAACAGCCTACACTTATTTCCATATTGGCATCTCAAAAGGTGGTATGGTACTTGGACAATAAAGGTTGGCTTGAATTGAAGTGTGATTTTGGGCTTTGGAAGTTTCCAGATTCCATCCTCTCATTACACTGTTCTCAGTTGTATTTTATCTTAAAAAAGGATCATCTCAGACAAGAAAAGCAGGAGCTTTGCCAGTGCAGCTTCAATTTAAAATGAGAACAATTCAGAGAACCTTTTCTCTGAAACTAAACTGAAGTAGCTTAAGATAAGAAATAACCAATGACACTTCATAAACCCTTTATTTGGCCATGAGTGGGTAGGTGAGAAAGCTGTTAGTGGGCCCAAAAAATGACCTGGAGTGGGCACACTTTTTTCTTGTTTCATGGATAGAAGTGGAAGTTGCTAGGGTTGGCTGCACACAAGTAAAAAACACCAGGTGGCACCATTTATTAGCAGTGTTACATTAGCTGTGTGGAAAAGTCCAAGCACAGACTGGCAAGGTGTTTCTGGAGTCAACCACCTGTTTTTACAGTTAAGGTTAATGCTTCTTGCCTCCTTTTTCCAGTTTTGGGAAAGTCCCATTTTAGTTTCATTAGATCTACAATGCATTGTTGAAGGGTAGAAGGCCAGTGAGATGTTACAAGGGGTGACATCTTTCCTGTCCATGTCAACCTGTGAGCTTTTATGAATCTTGTTTTTAATATGTGGTCAAAGTATACGCAACACCTCCTGCTTTGCCATTTGGTTGTACCAGGTCTACCCATTGTTTGCTCGTCTTACTTGCTAATATATAATCTTCCTCGGGAATCCCAAAGATCTGGATAGGGTGAGACACTGTACTACTATTCCTCAGGTCCAAGTCTTCTGACGTAGGCTAATTTTTTATAAGGTAGTTTCTTGAAGTAGTAATCAAGGTGGATAATTCTAGGGCTTCTAGAGAATAAATATTTGGCTTATATATCTATGAAATAGGAATGCGTAGTGATATTTCCATGTGTTCCCCTCACCTCCACGAGCAGGAGAAACTACCACCAAATAGTCCAAGAAGGTTTCACAGTGACCTCGGCAAGTATCCCTGGGGAAGAGGGGGTAGTATTCACAAGTAAAACTTGACAGGACCGAGGGAAACATCTGGAATAACACAGGCCTGGTTAACTGCGGGGAGAGCACTACAGGACATAAACAAATCCCATAAACTTAATTGACTTGGTTTCACTCTTGGCTCGCCTAAAGCTCTGTTCGAAGTTTCTGTCTCCCTCCCCTTTCTTCCATCACGACCAATCAGCTTGCCCAGATGAAACCCTGTAGTTAGCGTTTGAATTGGATTACTCCGAGGAATCTTTAACACGTGGGCCAAGCACTAGGTTGGCCGTGATCAGAAACTATTGGAACCGCTTTAAATCCAAGCGTTTGGGGTGGGATGGGAGCCGAGTTTTTTGGCTGTATCTCAGCCTTGTAATTTCTGAGCTAGTTTGTTTCAGCCACGGTCCCTCGGGCCTATCAAAAGCCAACGTTAGCACTCTGGGGGCGTGGTTATCGTCTTGGGGCTCTGGGAAGCGCAGTTCTCTGGGGCACCAGGCTTATAATACCATAAAAGGCCTGGTTCTCTCAATTCTGAAGCCGTGTTCTGTTGACCTTCTTCTAAGAGCGGTACCCAACAATTATACTGTGCAGAATCCGTAGTTCTCCAGTCCCGAGTCCTTGTCTTCCTAGGTCTTTCGCTGGCTCCGCCCCCGCAAGCCTGGTTTGTCCAGTCGCGAAACGACCTCCTGGCTACAGACCGCACCCCCTTGCGGCGGCTCCTCCTTCCCAGTCCCTAGCTTGGCTCAAGCGCTAGTTCGCGTTTTGAGCCGCTCGTGCCACCATAGCTGCTGCTGTTGCGGCCGCAGCGGAGCTGAAATCGCCGAGCGCGATGCCTGAGGGCGCTGTGAGCCGGGCAGCCCTCGAGCCCCGGGGCTGGTGAGGCTGGGCCCGAGCGGGGGCGCTGACGAGTAGCAGGGGCTTCTGAGGCGGGTGAAAGAAAAGTCTAGGCGGTTGTGGAGGGCGGAGAGCGAGCTCCTGAGGGTCGGGGGTGGGGGAGGGAGGCTCCCTTAGCAGAACGAGTTGCAGGGCCATCACGAGCCCAGCCACACCGTGTTCTCGCAACCGCCAGCATGGTCCCCCGCGAACCTCCCAGTGGCCGCCTCCTCTGAACAGTGCAGTTTCCATGGGAACAGTTCGGCGTTAACGGAGAACATACCTGCCAGTAGTTCTACTAGAATCTGCCCCATTCTCCAGTTAAACGCCTTTCGCAGGCGTGGGCCTGGCATCTGTTCGCAGTTCAGGGTACCCCCGCCCCTTTCGTGTAGCTCCTTCCCACGTTGTAAGAAACCACGCAGGGCTTAAAGGTGGGGATGAAGGAAAAGGGGAGGGCAATACCTAGGGATAAGAGTGGCAGACAGGTAGGCAGAAGACATCTACTGTGATGCTGAGGTGGCTTCTGCCATCTCAGGCCAGTGAGAGGTCATTTTGGAAGGCTGTTTGGAGTGAGAAGGCAGTCCAACAGTTGAGATAGGTCCCAAGACTGGACCAGAGACTGTCCCACCGGGCTCCTCATCATGATGGCCGTGGAAGGGTCAACCATTACCAGCCGGATTAAGAATCTGCTGCGGTCCCCATCCATCAAATTACGCAGGAGTAAGGCAGGAAACAGGCGAGAGGACCTCAGCTCCAAGGTGAGTCATAGCCACCCTCTTTCCATCTCTTTATCTTCTCCTTGCTCCATGTTCTTATTTCACCTTCTTTCTTGGGAAAGAAGAGAGCTAGACACTCCTGTTGGCTCTAAAAGATCAAATATGCAGGCCTCTGCCTCTCAAGCAGGCAGTGATTTGGTTGTGGGTTGGAGGAAAAAGAGTGGTGTGGGTAGGCATTGCTGAGATTCATCCATGAAAAGAGGTGAATAGTAGGAAGGTGAGTTCAACTATGATCTCCCTACAAACTAAGTGTTTGCGTTGGGAAGCTAGTTGATATACTATGACTCAGTTTCCCTTCTTGGAAGGGACTAATGGGACTACATACCCTGTGTGACTAATGTGGCTGCAGTATTGACAGCTGGGTTTATGTAAGACTGTAGTAACAGAAGGAAATACCTTAACATCTTAAGCACCTTTTCTGAAATATTAGTCTGGTAATTGCTCTTATCTGGGGTCAAAACAAATTTGTTTCTTTAAGAGACCTAATTAATTAACTGGAGTGTCTTGGCCTTCTTAGGAATGATAACATGCAAGGAGCCACATATGTGCCAGCAAAAACAGTTCTCATAGTTTGCCCTTGATATTGCTTATCCCATTCACTGTATGCCAAGAGCCAAGTGGTTCCCAGAGGCAAAGTCCTTTTTTCCATCCCATCACTTGTCTGGGTTTTGATCCTTATGCTTTATTCAACTTTGTTAAACCCCACAACTTTGGTAATACAAAAATAGACTAAATTTATTTACTCCCTCAAGGAGTAAATGTCTTTGTTCCCACAGGATCAGATTAAATTGTGTGTCTTATTAGCAGCCTGTAAACACAATAGGCTTGTGTGGTACAGGATTGCTACAGGGAGAGTCATTTGAGACAGTAGCATTTTATTACCTTGCCTGACTGTGAGAGATGAGTAAACCTGGTGAATGAGTTAAGAGTGCTGATGTACAACATGACAGGGTTCTGGGAGGACTCAGTTCAGACCCCTGTCCCTTAGCAGAACCTTAATTGGATTTGAATAAGGTGAACAGCAGCTTTTCTTTATGTTTCAGCAGGGGATATAGTGAATAAAAATTTACCTCAACGTTCCATGGTGGTGTAGATAGTGATCCTTCTAAGTCCTTTTTTTGTTTGTTTTTTTAAAAGATGGGTTCTCACACAGGGTCGGATGGTACATTCCTATAATCCCAGAAGCTTGGGAGGTTGAGATAAGAGGATTGAAAGTTCAAATCCAGGCTCAGCAATTTAGCATGACTCTGTCTCAAAATAAAAAATAAACAAGGATGGGGATGTGGCTCAGTGATTAAGCACCCTAGGTTCAATCTCTGGTACAAAAACAAACAAACAAACAAACAAAAAATGGGTTCTTGCCTGTTGCCCAAGCTGGTTTCTAACTTCTGGACTCAAGCAATTCTCCTGCCTCAGCCTCCTGAGTAGCTGGAACTGTAGGTGCAGACCACCATGCTTGGATTTTTAAAGAACTCTTAATTATCATTGTTCCTATTTTCTAGAGGCAGGAGAATGAACCTGAAAGTTAGAAATTGTCTTAGATATGACACTTTTTGCTCATTCGTAATACTGCAGATGCTCATCTTCATGGCCAGTAACTTGGCAGTGATCAGAACTATTAGAACAATCTTCAGGAATAGAATATATGGCAGAAATATATAATGGAAGTTTAGTTTTCAGTGTGAATATTTTACTGCAGTTTTGGTCTGGAATCCAGATAGTACCATCACCATTGTTTAAAACTGTCATTCATCATTAATGTAGTCAACAAGTGTTTATTTAGTCCTATTAGGTATAGAGTCAGGGATGAATGAAACACTAGCTTTACCATCAGAGAACTTGTGGCTATTCAAACATGTAAACAAATAATTATAGGGGCTGTTCTAGAAGTATGCAGTAAGTTGTTAATGGAATCACAGCGTCAGACTATAAGTCAGTTTAGGGGAATTAGGAAATACATCTTAGAAGAGGGGTTGCTTGAATCGTAACTCCTGAGTCAAGAGAAGAGCTTTCAAGGAAAACTGAAAAAAAGGGGACATCTCTGTGATCACCATTAAACATCTCTGTTTCTAATATCAATTCAGTACTTCAGACTGCTTTAAAGATTTTGTCTGTCCTAAACCTAAGTATGAAGGGAATATTTATGAAAAATTGAATGACCCTTGAATGATATGACAAAGGAAGAGTGCTATCTTTAACCCCCAAGAGTATGAACAGTTTTTGGTTATCTGATACCCAAGATGCCTCTTGGGTACCTCCCCACACTCCTTAGCAAAGGATCTTTGCCTAAGATTATTCTAAAAAGCCTGCTTTGTGGTAACCCACATAGGACCTAGTCTGTTAAATTTTTGAGTTGCTCTAATATATGGTGGCTGTGGGTAATCAGTAACAGAAAACTTGTGGCTCAAGGATAACTAATTCTGAAATAAAATTTGAAGACAAAAAGACAAGCCTTGGGGCTGGGGATGTGGCTCAAGCGGTAGCGCGTTCGCCTGGCATGCGTGCAGCCCGGGTTCGATCCTCAGCACCACATACAAAGAAAGATGTTGTGTCCGCCGAAAACTAAAAAAAAAAAAAAAAAAATATTTAAAAAAAAAAAAGACAAGCCTCTTTTGAGGGGGCAATGTCAGGATCTTTATACAGCTCTTACCTTAGGTGGTCTCCTGCTTTGAATAATACTGTTCTAAAGTTGCTTTCTTACTCCTTTTCATCAAATTCTGTATTACTTTTAGAATCATCTCCATATTTTCCAAAGACACAGGGTCTTTTTGGACTAGTCTCACTACCTTGAAATCAATTTCTGCTCTTTCTTTTATTTATGTCTTCATTTCCTAAGGTCAGGGATCATGTTCTTTATTTCTTTTACATCACACTGTTTAGGACAGTGTATATAGTATGTACAGTATGTAGTAAATATTAAAGGAGTAAATGAATGAGAATAGTTTTAACATGTCTAATAAGTACAGAAGAATAAAAAATGATCAGGAGGATTTGTGACCTTTTTAGAAGAGAAATCAAAACTAGGAATAATAAAATGATGAAAAAGAAGAGATTCAAGTAAGTGAAAAGAAGTAAGAGATTCTGTGGTGGTGCTCTGAGCCTTTTAATATGTGCCTTTTTAGTTGAAAAGGATATAAGAGGGCTGGGGTTGTGGCTCAATGGTAGATCACTTGCCTAGCATGTATGAGGCAGTGGGTTTGATTTTAACCATATACATATGGTTAGATTTGATTTTAACCATATACATGTGGTTAAAATGTGATTAAGCTGAACAGAAAGCCCTCACCTGTAATTCCAGGGGTTTGAGAAGCTGAGGCAGGAGAATAGCACATTCAAAGCTGACCTTAGCAACTTAGGGAGATGATGTCTCAAAATAAAAAGGGCCGGGGCTGGGGTTGTGGCTCAGCGGTAGAGTGCTCACCTAGCACACGTGAGGCCCTGGGTTTGATCCTCAACACCACATAAAAATAAATAAAGATATTGTGTCCAACTAAAAAATAAATATTTTAAAAATAAATAAATGAATGAAGAAATAAATAAAGATATTGTGTCCAGCCAAAAAAAAATTAAAAATAATAAAATAAAAAGGGCTGGCAATGTGGCTCAGTGGTAAAACACCCCTGAGTATAATCCCTGCTACCAAAAATAACCAACAACTTATATTTAAATTAAATATATAGTTTAAATGAGAAAGCCAGTAGAGGTGGGGATTTAAATTACCACAAAGAGTAGATGAGAGCTGAGATATTTATAAGGTTTTTAAAGGGAGGAAAGTCTCTTCAGTGGAGTAAATTGAAAAAGGGTGATTTGAAGTTTTGTGCCAGATCTATCTGCTAAGTCTTGATAAAGTATAGATGGAAGTTATTAGTTATAAATACCTTTCAAGTTTAAATCCTGTACATTTGTCAGTTCTTGCCTGTCATCTCAGTTGAGGCTGTTTTCTGTAAGAAGCAAATGTCTATGCTCTTGGTAACTAACCCTCCCACTCTAAAGTTACTGAATGATTTTTATATGGAGGGAGCTGAATTGTTTTTTTTTTTTGTTGTTGTTGTTGTTGTTTTTTAAACAAAGCACAGAAATGGACTGAAGCAGAGCAGGCAAGATTTAGGTTAAGGATACAAAAAGATTACCTGTGCTGGAGATTTGTTAAATTTTGAAAAAATAAGTGAAGAAGGTTTTGAAATATTCCTTGTTAATAGCTATTAATCCAGTCTGGGTTATATATTATTCTGCTGGAAACAATGGGCAGGGGGACTTTCTTTTAGTTCTGTTTTTATGATTGTAAATCTATTCCTTCCTTCCTAACTCTCAAGCGTGCTCTCTTTCTCCCTTCCCCCCACCCAACATGATTATACGGTGGTGCTTTGATCTTTTTAATATGTGGCTCTAAGAAGAGTTTGTGTAGGTGGGTTTTATGAAGGAGGAAAGATTGGCAATAATCTAATTGCAGCTTTTGTTCAATGTTTACGCCTAGATGTTAGTATTGAAATTCTTTAATCTATTTGGGAGAGGGAACTTAATCATTTTCCAAGCATGTGAATCATTAGCTCTAGCTTAATGGCTCTCAACTTGGGAAACGATTAGAAAGGCCATGAGGCATCAGAATATCTGTAACATTTTAAAATATACATTCCTGAGGCCCATCCTAGCTCTGTGGAATCAGAACTTCTGAGGGTGGTGTTTGGTAGTTGCATAAAATATTAAGTCTCATCTGATGCCCACTGCTGGTTATGAAACCTTGGACTAGGTGCTAGGATCCTAAGATCTGTTTCTTCATATCCAATTCCTCACTGAGACTTCTTTCTGAAAGTATATTAAGCTAGCCCAGTAAGTATACTTTCTTCCTTGAGTAGTTTTTAACTCTTCTGTGTCTTCTAGACAGATTACTCACAAACTGCTTTGTCAGGGATCAGTTTGATAGAACTTTGCATTGTGAGGTCAGATGTGAGGAGCTGATCAGTGCCTTACTAAGGCAAAACAGCAGGAATTTCCCTTGTGAGTAGTAGTAAGAAACTTTATGATGATATCCGGGAGTCCTGGCCAGTCATTGCTCTCACCATTCCACTACCCACTTCCCCTAGAACCCATAGGAACCAACAGTGTTTTAGAGGTTTTTATTGTTGTTGTTGTTTATTTGTTTTTGGTACCAGGGATTGAACTTCAGGGCACTCAACCACTGAGCCACATCCCCAGCCCTATTTAGTATTTTTATTTAGAGACAGGTTTTCCTTGAGTTGCTTAGCACCTTGCTTTTGAGAGGCTGGCTTTGAACTCGTGATCTTCTCGTCTTAGCCTCCAGAGCCGCTGAAATTGATGTGTGCCATCATGTTTTAGTGTTTGATACAAATTCTCCAGGCTCCCCACCTAGAATACATGATCAGGAGCAGAAGCCCCTGTGGCCAGCCTCTCACTGTCCTTTGTTGAGTTACGTTGGGTCAAGTTCACATTTTCTGATGTGTTTTTTTTTTAATATATATATTTAACATTTAATTGTAGATGAACACAATACCTTTCTTTTGTTTATTTTTTGTAGTTGTAGATGGACAGAATGCCTTTATTTTATTTTTACTTTTATGTGGTGTTAAGGATTGAACCCAGTGCCCCACACATGCTAGACAAGCACTCTGCCACTGAGCTACAGCCCCAGCCCATTGTTTGTTTATTTTTATGTAGTGCTGTGGATTGAACCCAGTGCCTCACACATGCTAAGCAAGCGCTTTTCCACTGAGCTACAATCCCAGCCCTCTGATGTGTTCTTGAATTAAGCTTGTGGAGTGTCTTAAGATCCTTGGAACAGGTGGTTTACCATGAAAAGTTTCCGTGTTCTCCTGGTTTTGTTTGATCTTTGTTTCATCTTCCTTCCCGCGCCTGCAGCTGCCTTCAGTCTTCAAAATGATTCTCATCAGAAAGAGAATTCCCTCCCTGGACCCAACAACACATCTCTTCCTTTACTGTATTCCAGCCTCTTGAAGTTCTGAATTGTTTTTTGGAGGCTTCCTATATCTACTTGGCCTCACTCATTTCATAGTTTTCCAAGTTTGTTTTCCCTCTCTCACTTTGCAATTTAGAGCAAGTTCCCCTGTGTCTTACTTCCTGCCAGTATCTTGAATGTCTTTGGGACCTTGGTATTTCTCTGATTTTTCACTTCTGTCTTCCGTTTGTCTTCCACATGTGTTTTCATTTCTTGACTAATGAAAAACACAGGTAGATGTGAGGCTTTAGCCTGACCTCTGCAATCTTCTTACCAACCCCTAGAATCTCAAATTTGGGCTTGTGACTGTTATCACTGCCCTTTGTTTGAAGAGCAATCCAGGGCTTGAAATTTGGGACTGTGTTTATTCACGCTAAACTTCTCTGAGAAAGTAGTCTGTCCTACTGTTCTCAGCATTTCTGTTGGTTTTCCTTCATGGTCAGACTGCATTGTTGTTAAGGGGAAAAAAGCTACAGTGTTTTCAGTAGGATTTGTTATATTATACATGGCATTCCCATTGCTACAAATTAAGCCTCTCCTTTGGGTTTCATTGTTTAAAGCAAGATAAGTCCAGATTTTCTGCCAGTTTTCTTTTCACGGCAGTTCTTAGTAGAGGTGTAGAATGAGAATTACTCACTTTTTTGGGTGTTAATTAACCCTATTAATGGATTTTACCTTCTCTTGCCTCTTAAAATTAAAAAAAAAGGGGGGCATGTGTTTGGGAGGATAATAATATTGAATATGACAGTCAGACCTGTGGATCTTTAGGGTTTTTTTTATTTTTATTTTTTTGTGGTACTGGGGATTAAACCAAGAGACACTTTACCACTGAGCTACACCCCCAGACCTGTTTTTTATTTTTGAAATGTTTTTTTTTAAGTTGCTGAGACTAGCCTCAAACTTTTGTATACTCCTGCCTCAGTCTCCTGAGTAACTGGGATTACAGGCATACTCCACCACACCTAGTTTAGGGTTGGTATTTTTGATCAGATTTTCCAAATCTTTCCTTCCTTCCAGTGGTTATAGCAGCACATCTATAGTGCTTCTTAATTGACCACAGTATTTTCCTTTTTTTTTTTTTAATAAACTGTTCAGCATTCCTTCAACTTTAATTGTGGGGGTAAAAATATGGAACATTTCAAGTATTTGTGTGTCACCCTTGAGCACAGGCCATTGCTAATCTCTGTATTATTCCAATTTTAGTATATGTGCTGCCGAAGCGAACACAGTATTTTCCTTTGGTTTAGAAGAACACTTACAGAAGAATGATTTTATAGTGTAGGTCTCCTCTTAGACTTCTGTCTTTATCACAGAGAATATTTGTAATGCTTTTTTTGTTTTTGTTTTTGTTGCTTTCCTAGTCTACAAAACGGGGTTTTTTAAGACTGAATTCTAAGTTTACACATCTCATCTTTCTCCCTCAAACTGAGGTGAAGCTAAAGTCATTCAGAGTTGAAATTTAAATTTACTTGAAGATCTTGTAACAGCCTTTTGTGAAACCATATGGCTGATTTTTCCTCCCAACTTTGCTCTTTTGGAGGAATCCTGAGAAGGAGGATTCCTCCTTTAGTTCTTCAGATTTCTTTTTCTCCTAGTGCTGGGAATTGAACCAGAGGGTTTTGTGCATTCTAGCAAGTGTCCTACCACTGAGCTATATATAACCCCTGCATTCTTCTAGGATTTGAATTTTGCTTTTCATTTATACCAAACTTGAAGTAATTTCTAACTTTCATCATCATTTCTTATCAGTTTTTAAAAAATTTTTTTTTGAGAGAGAGAGAGAGAGAGAGAGAGAGAATTTTAACATTTATTATTTTTTTAGTTTCCGGCGGACACAACATTTTTGTTTGTATGTGGTGCTGAGGATCGAACCTGGGCCACACGCATGCCAGGCAAGCGGGCTACCGCTTGAGCCACATCCCCAGCCCTCTTATCAGTTTTTGAGGTCTATTTTCCTTTAGAGTGCTTCTGATCTTTTCTTCATAAGTTCAATTGACCCTTTTAAAGGTGCTGGCACTTAAAAATAAAACTTTAAAAAATTACAAAATATTACACATAAGAAAGTTTATGAAATGTAATATTATGAATAATTTTTAAATGTTCTTCTATGTTTACAGCCATCCAAGTTAAAATAAAAAATAGAACAATGCCAAGGTGTTTGCAGCTTCTGGAAGATATGATGTTAATAGTGTCGTCAAGGTGTTTGAAAATAAAAATGAGGTTTTATCTTACATAATCAAAATGGGGTGTGTGTGTGTGTGTGTGTGTGTGTGTGTGAATTGAATTCAAATGAGGATTGAACCCAGGACCATGCACATGCTAGTTAAGTATGCTACCACTGAGTTACTGAGCCATACCCCCAGCCTCAAGATCACTTATTTTAAAAAATTAATATACCTAAGGACTTGATTTTGATATTTTGTTTTTCAAGTTTCTTTTCCCAACTATGTCGATTTATGCCATTCAGTGTTTTCAGGTAGTATGAACCACCATGTCCAACCTTTGTTAGGCAATTAGCAGTGTATTTGTACTACTAATAATAGGAATAATAGTATTTGCAGTGGTAATAATAATTAAGATTTATTTTGCTATGTACTAGGTACTGTGCTTTGCATTTTACATGTATTATTCAAATTTTATTCAACTCTACCATAATCCCATTTTTGTAGATAAAGAAAGTGATGATAGGAGAGGTCAGGTGAGTAGAGGATGGTTACACAATTAGTAGATGGCCAAGCTGGAATTCAGCCTAGGCTTTCCTAACTCCAAAGCCCACCCACACTTTATTCAATTATCTTCCTAGGGAAGATTTAGGTTCAAAATATTGCACTGAGCACAAAAATATGCCTTGAATTGCTGTAGCCAAGACTCATCTCCTACATTCAGCTTAGGAAAAGGTATTTCCTTTAAAAAATACACTTTTTCTTCACTATTCCATCAATTTAAATTCTTATACTTATTTTAGAGCCATCATTCAGTAATTCCTGTTACTCTATATTGCTCCTTTCTCATCTCCACCTCCAAATTTCCTGAACTGTTTCCCCTACTTCTTGTTATGTGGTACTCTTAGGTTTTGTTTTTGGGTTTTTTTTTTTTTTTTTTTTTTTGTACCTGGGAGTGAACTCAGGGGTGCTTAACCATTGAGCCACACTGTGGTACTGTTAGGAACCATGCAACTTGTGGTTTTGTGGGAATTTGAATCAAGTCGATGGGGTGCAGCTGCGTGGTTCTAAATGACTATAAGTTACAAGAAGTTGCTGCTTCTCTGTTGGAGTTGTATGGGGAGTGAATTGAAGACCTACAGATGACTTGGTTAGTTTTGTGTGTGGGTATTACTGAGCTTTAATCTGTGGTGGCTTGGTTGGCAAGTTGATTGTGTACTTTATGCTCTTGACTAGTTGATAGTCTATCCTAGACCTATTCCCTCTGAATTCCACCTCTTTGTTATCTTTAAGCTCACAACTGACCTTGTTTTTGAAGCTGTGGAGAGTACCTGGATCAAAATGCCTCTTTCTGTGTGGATAGGAGAGGTTCTAAAATGTTCCATACTAGGAACTGATCTGGTTTATGACAGTTAGGGTTCAGTGAATTTGAACGTACATAAAAATAAGGTCACTTGCCCACCTGACTCCTTTGGGCTGTGTGGGCTCCAGGGTTGCAAAGTTCTTTTTTTTTTTTTTATTGGTTGTTCACAACATTACAAAGCTCTTGACATATCATATTTCATACATTAGATTGTAGTGGGTTATGAACTCCCAATTTTACCCCAAATGCAGATTGCAGAATCATGTCGGTTACACATCCACAATTTTACATAATGCCCTATTAGTAATTGTTGAATTCTGCTACCTTTCCTATCCCCTACTATCCCCCCTCCCCGTCCCTCACATCTTCTCTCTCTACCCCATCTACTGTAATTCATTTCTCTCCTTGTTTATTTTCCCATTCCCCTCACAACCTCTTATATGTAATTTTGTATAGCAATGAGGGTCTCCCTTCATTTCCATGCAATTTCCCTTTTCTCTCCCTTTCCCACCCATCTTATGTCTCTGTTTAATGTTAATCTTTTCTTCCTGCTCTTCCTCCCTGCTCTGTTCATAGTTGTTCTCATTATATCAAAGAAGACATTTGGTATTTGTTTTTTAGGGATTGGCTAGCTTCACTAAGCATAATCTGCTCTAGTGCCATCCATTTCCCTGCAAATTCCATGATTTTGTCATTTTTAAGTGCTGCGTAATATTCCATGGTGTATAAATGCCACATTTTTTTTATCCATTCATCTATTGAAGGGCATCTGGGTTGGTTCCACAGTCTAGCTATTGTGAATTGTGCTGCTATGAACATCCATGTGGCAGTATCCCTGTAGCATGCTCTTTTAAGGACTTCAGGGAATAGTCCGAGAAGGGCAATAGCAGGGTCAAATGGTGGTTCCATTCCCAGCTTTCCCAGGAATCTCCATACTGCTTTCCAAATTGGCCGCACCAATTTGCAGTCCCACCAGCAATGTACAAAGTGTACCCTTTTCTCCACATCCTCGCCAGCACTTGTTGTTGTTTGACTTCATAGTGGCGGTTGCAAAGTTCTTCAGCAAGTGCCTTGCCTTCATCTGGTTTCAAATTTGAATTATTTTGATTTCTTCTCTCAAATAGGCAAATGTGATTTCATGGTATAGTACAAAAGCATGGGATCTCAAGGCCTGCTTCCCTGCACTGCCTCAGTTTGCCCTGAGCAGAGGAAGCCCTAAGCCAAGTGGTTTGGATGGCGGGCAGCTCACGGTAGTTTGCTATAGTTGGCAAGGAGGAAGGAGGGTGGAGCATGTTAAAAAAAAAACCCAACTCTTGCCACCTCCCAGCTCCTACCTTGGAGAAAAGCAAGCAGCTGCTTGTTAGAATTAAATTTGCAGCAGGCAGGTAGGCCTTCCTCTGCTACCTTGACACTCATTGGTTGGCTTCTCAATTTGCAGAGGACAGTATTTGCACATCATGATTGTTTTCATATGACTTAATAACCTACTGCATACTTCTCTAACAATGTTCTTTCTGCTTATGATGCCCTTCCTCCCCAGACTGCTGGGTCTGTCTTGTGAGGACTGTACTGCAGCTATCACAGACTTTGCCTCATAACAAACTCAGAACTGACTGGTGAACAAGGCTTCTCAAGAATTAATGGGTAGGCCCCTGGGGCTGGGGTGGAAGTGGGGCAGAAGTATTGCCAAAAGGCAGACTCAGGCTCACCCTGAGACTCTGCATTTCTACCAAGCTTCGAAGTAATGCCCAGGCTGTCTTACTTGGGCCACACTTTGAGTAGCCTGGTGGTGTGAGTGCATGTAATTGAGGGGAATATATGTGTGTGTTGGGGTTGGGGAGCAATATCCTCACATCTGAAGGAGCTGACCTCTCTCATTTGTAAAATTGGAATACTAATGCCTTCCAGGGTTGTGGTAAGGGTTAAATGAGATTTAGTGAATATGAAAGCACACTGTAAGCCTAAATAACTTTACAGCTATAAAGAGATTGCTAATATTATCAGGGTTCACAGATTTCTAGAATACCAAGTAATTTTCTTCTAGTTTGCTGGCAAGATTTTATTCCTTCAAGTTTCCATTTGTGAGCAGTCCTTTTTTTTGCAGGTTCGGCTTCTTTCATTCCAACATTTAATAATGACACACTCTGCATGGCTTTTCTTTGTGACCTGTCCTCTATTTTTTTCTTGCCAATATTCTGACTTGTATCAACAGTACTTTAACTACCGACCAAAATGGGGGCATAGCAAATGTTATTTTTGATACCAACTATTGTGTAATTTATTTCAGGGCTACAGACATAAGTTTTTTAAAATGAAAAAAAAGAAAGTAAAACCAGTGAACTCCAAGGGGTTGGAGGGATCCTAATTTTCTGTCAGGATAGAAACCACTAGGGTGGTGAGCATGCTTTTTAACAGCAGTAGCTTCTCTAGATATGGGAATAACTTTTTATTTTAGAGCAAATTCATTATACTGAGAAATAATTTGAGAAGTGAGTTGTTCCTGTAGTTTCCTTTCAGTCTAAGAATTTACAGGGAGTGTAAAAACATGTTTGTTTATAACCTATTAAGTCTCTATAATGTTATGACCAGAATATTTAAATATTCTATTTAAATAATTTTTGCTTATAAAAACAAGATATGTGAAGATGTACGGATGTAAGTAGAGTCATACCTAACTTGTACTGTTGGAAAGCATACATTTA